ACTTACATTTTTAGATCACCAATTTTCTCTTCAGTTGGGTTTTAAGTTCTAGAATGCTTATTTAATTATTTTTAAAAAAAGATTTTATATCTCTGATAAAATTCTCTATCCTGTCATTTTCTTTTACAGTTACTTTAAATTCCAGGTTACTTATATGTTTTTATTTCTATTTTGCTCTTTGCTTTTATCCTGAGTATACCAGCTAATTTTTTATTGAGTTACACAGGCATTGGGTATGATAAATTATAGAGGCTATAGATAAAATTATCTCCCTCCAGAGGCTTTTGTTTAGCTTCTAGTAGGCAACAGGGTAGAAGCATATAGCTTTAATCCACTAACTGATTAACCTGAATTGAGGTTAGGTTTCAGTCTTTATAAGTCCTAACCTATTTATGGCTTAGCCTTATTCTCAGAGTTTAATCCATGTAGGATTCCAATCAAAACACTGATTTTTACCAAGCCCTCTTAATTAGCAGATCTCCATTTACAATTTCTGTATCCCTAGCACCCTGAGACAATTGATAGACTCTTAGCTGCTGCTTTCTTGTCAGTTATTTAAAAATGAACTTTAATAACTACTATAAACATTTGTGAACAGTTCTTTTGTTTGTGGACACAAGGTTTCAACTCCTTTGGTAAGTACTAAGGAGTGTTTAGTTCTAGTTTATATGGTAAGAATATATATAGTTTGGCAAGAAACTGACAAGCTGTCTTCCAATGTGGTTGACCCATTTTGTAGTCTCACCAGCAGGAAGGATGAAAGTTCCTGGTACTTCATATTCCAGCCAGCATGGGATGTTGTCAGCGTTTTGGGTTTTTTGCCACTCTAATAGATGTGTAGTGGTGTCTCATTGTCGTTTTAATTTGCAATTCCCCAAAGACATATGATATTAAGCGTATTTTCATATGCTTATTTGCCATCTGTATATCTTCTTTGGTGAGGTGTCTCTGAAGAAAATTTGCCTATTTTTAATTGGGTTTTTTAATTTTGTTGTAGTAGAGATTTAGAAAAGTTCTTTGTATATTTTGGATACCAGTCCATTATCAAATATGCATTTCGCAAATATCTTCTTCCAGCATCTGCTTTTTTTTCATTCTCTTAAGAGTGTCTTTCACAGAATCAAATTTAATTTTTGGTGACATCAAACTTGTCAATTTTTTTTTCACAAATCATGCTTTTGGTATTGATGTAAAAAAATCATTCCCAAATCCAAGGTCAGCTAGATTTTGTCCTCTGTTATCATCTAGAAATGTTATGATAGTTTTGTATTTTTTATTTAGGCCTGTGATTTCTTCCCAGCTTTTAAAATTATTTGGCTACACAACTTACAAAGCATAAAATAACCTTGACATGAATGGATTTGGGGATACTGTTTTGACCTGTCTGCAATTCCCTTCACTCCAGCATCTTCACTGACTACCTTAGTATCCCCGGATTCCAATTTTTTTGTCTCTCCCAATCCTGTAGGATTGCTGAAAGCTGGACTTAGGTTCTATGCCTTCTAGCATCTGCTTTTCCCTCTTTCCCCAAGATATTTATGAACTGGAAGTACCTGGAGGGAAAAGAAGTGTTGAACACCCTGTTTACCTCGGTGGGTTTCCATTCTTTCGGAAACAGTCGTTCTTCAAGTCCTGGATAATTTGGTGGCTCTCCAACATGTTCCAAGTGAAATTTTAAGAAAATAGTAAATCTATCTTTTTCAGTTCTTTCTGAAAAAATGAGTGATCTGCTGTGCGTCGGTCGATCTTCAAAAACTGGAAATTACAGTTTAAAAGTGCAATTCGTACATTTCTTGCCTAAAAACCTCTGAAGGCTTCCGCTGGCCGCAGATCCGGCATATGTCGTGTGGTGTCGCTATTGCAGATATTCTCTATAATCTGCTTCCTGTCTGCGTTTCTGGGCCCAGTCCCCACCTCCTGCATGTTGTTGTCAAGCAGTATCATAATTCACAGTGTTTTCTCAGGCTTTGGGTCTTTGGCTATGTTCTTCCTTTTGCTCCCAGCAACATTCTTCTGATGGTCATCCACATTGTCTAATTGTTTATCCCACTACCCCAAACCAAAGTCGCCTTGGCTGGGAAACAGTCGCTGACCTCTTTCCCTCGGCCGGATCAGCACTTTCCTCATCTATATTCTCACTGAATATTTTATAAATCCAGTCATGGTACTTTTCACATTGCGTTTGGTTAATTGTTTGTGTTTCATCTCCTACTTTAGACTGTGAACTTTTCTATCATCAGTGCGTAACAGAACATGGCATATAATAAGAGCTTAGTAGATAGCTGTTGAATGAATAAGTATATGAACTATTAAATCATCTGATTTACCTTGCTATCATTTCTTACATTCTTATGTTTTCTCCAAACATCTGTCAGTAATACAGTTAGTCTAATTTTTTTTCATTCATTCATTCAACAAATGTTTACCTGTCACCAACCAAGCATCAGGCACTTTCCCATGAATCACAGGGCATACAATAATGAACAAGATAGAATCAGTTATTGCCCTCATGGAGCTTATAGTCTAGAGATGATAAGCAGTTCTTTAAAAAACATGTTTCTCAGCTGGTTGGGAAAAAGAAGTTTTAGCCAGAGTGTTTCCCTCTTGGCTTCTTTACTCTCGGTCCTGGTCTGCTAAGCTAAATGTCAGTATCTGCAGCATTTTATGCTCTTAACTATTATTGCACCCTATCTAGCATGAAAAATAGAAAGGTTCACATGCTGAGACTTCCCATCTCAAAGAGCAATTAAAATATTTTAGGTAGATTCTTTCAGTCAAGTTAGAGAGTATTTAATTAAACGATGTATTTTATCTTCATGTTAAGTGACAAAACATCAAATATTTGATGTTAATTGATATTACCAATAGAAAGATCAAAAAATCTTTCACTTGATGCTAAATAGTTATTTTGATATTGACCTTTTTTCTTATTGAATTGACTCATTTGGGGGTGAAGGCAGGAGGGTGTGAAATATCTGCACTCTATAGTAATTTCATCACATGTAACAGCTGAGATAAAATCTTGACCATACTATTTCAAATACACGATAGTTTTCTGTATGACATTATGATTTTCTTTGTTCAGTTTACTAAATGTATCTATATCTCTGGAAATGACATATTCCATGGAGGTAAGGACTGTAGATCATATGAAAGAAATTTTTCTAAAAAAATTTTCTTAATTTAAAATTTAAAGCTCCTGAATTTTAAACTGTGATTGAAACAATTTTTATACTTAATAATTCTTGCAGCATTTTATTAGAACTGACCCATAAACTTACATGAAGCAAACAAAGCTGGGAAGTTGCTATTTGGGCTATGTGAACTACATACTGTCTAAAATAAAGTTCTCATTATGCAATAAAAGTTGTGTTTCAGATTTGGCACACTGCTTAAGAAAACTATTGAGAACCTTAAAAGATGTGTTTAGTGCAAGTCAGCATGCAATAATTAGAAGAACACAGGGGTCATCTTTGAACAGGTTGAGGAGAAACTAGTTAGCCCTAGAATTTGTAACAGGTTTGTACACACTAAAACACTAAAGTGATGTTTATGAGAGAAGTAGAAAATCAGATCATAATGTCTGAGGAACAGTAAACAATGGGTGTTAGAGGAAGGAAGCACTTCCGGAAAGAATGAGTAAGGTATCTCTAAAATGCACACAAATATCACCTTTCTTTAGAGTTTATACTAATCACCTTAGGTAAGTTAACATTTGGGCAACACATTTCCCAGTGATGACTCTACAAAGAGGGGCAAGGAGCGGGGCCCAGTTCTATTCCACAGCACAGGAGATAGGCGCGGAGTGGCAGGTCGAGCACGGGGAATGCATTTCTGTGTGCAGATGTTCAAGATAATGAGATCAGAATGCAAGAAGAATACAGCTTATTGCAAAACACGGTGCAGTTCACCTTCAGCTGCAAGACAGCTGCAAAGCCTCATTTGGCCACAAGTACGCAGCACCAAAGTACACACACAGGCCAGGGAAACCAACTGGCCTGCATTGTTTAGAAGCTGCACAGAAGATAATAGATTGTGACTTCTGGGATATTTACACTTCACCTTGGACTTTTCTTTAAAGTATAAATTTTCCTCAGTTTGAACCTGGTAAGGGATATGAATAAAGCACAAAACCTCAGTGGGATATTGCTTGAGAAGACTCATTCTAATTAATGGGGAAAAAAACACAACTAAGGATCAGCTTTATGGAAGGAAAAACTTTAAAGTAGGGACATGATACTTCTCTTGGATAGAACTTATTGCCCTTACAAACTTTCCTCCCATCAAACTCTAGCTCTGTTGATGGGATATCAGGACCTGTGTGACTCCTACTCATGTCCATACATATTCTATTTCCCAGAGTTCTTCAGTTCTAGGACTCTAGACCATCTCTCCTGATGGCCTTGGCCCTCTATCCTAACACCTCTGCCCCTGCCCCAAGGTCTCCCTGTGGCTCCTCCTGTGCCAGTCAGTCTGGACACCTATAATCATGCTGCTCTTTCTGCAGAGGTGCTTTTCTCTTTGACCCTCTGGAATGCTACCCATCACTTGGGTGGACCTCAAGGCCCTGTGTTTCATGACCATCCCCTAGTCTCTGAACCCTTTGGGCTCATTCTGCTGTATTTTATATTCAGTGGTATGCTCTGTGACATTCCTTTTAGATTATATGAGTTCCTTGAGAGTCTAAAACATAAGATGTGCATATTTTATCCCTCGTAGCTTCTAACCAATAATTAATAATAATAATAACAACAACATTTAAACAGCATTCTATAATCCATAACACTCTCACACACATTATTTGTGCCTCACAACAATCTTATAAGGGCAATAAAACCAATTGTGGTATTTCTGATTTGTAAAAGAACTTGAGGTTCAGAAAGATTAAGCAACTTATCTTCAGTCACACAGCCAGGAACTAGAAGTTTCTAACCTCGAATTTAAATCTTTTGACTCCTACATCTTAACACAAAGATAATAAGCTTTAAATAAGTACTTACATTTACCAGGTGCAAGCTGGTAAATGAGCTTATGGAGAAGGGCCTTGGGATCTTCAGCTGCCCAAAATGTGGAAGTGAACTTGACTTCGAATCAGTCAAAAGGGGGTAGTTTCAGTTTCATTTTGCTTGGGGTTTGTGTAAACTCTGATTAAATGCAACCAATCTCTGCTCTTTCCTATTCATCTTGTCAGATAAGAGGCTTTCCTTTCCTCCCAGAGAGGAACACTTGAATCTCATCAAAGTAAACATCAGGGGTTTTGCTTAACACATATGGCAAACTGAACAGAGAGGGCAGGAGAGATCCAGGAGCGAATGCAGAGAGGCTTCCAACAAAGAGGACAGTCTAGTTGTAAGTGTAGGACTAGAGGGAAAACTGTCAGCAGCCCTGGCAATATCAACTGAAAACACACTTTGAAGGAGATGAGTGGTGGTCTCTCGGTGACGGGTAGCAGAATGACATGGATGCAGAACTCAGAAAGCGCACGCACAGGGTTCTTTCCTGGTGCAGGTAGGTGAGGCCCTTCCCTCTGTGTGCCCTTTTGTACGCAGTCTGTAGAGCTAGAGCGCCCTGGAAGGGCACTCTTCTGTGGGACATGCTTTAATCCCCTTTTATTGGAAACTGCTCTCAGGCAAAAATAAGAACACATCTTCTTTTGATGTTGAACATCTGACTTCTCCAGGATGTAGGGTCTAAGTTAGGACATTATGTCTTTTATTTGCCAATGTGAGTTTCTGTAGGACTAATACTATGTTGCTGAAGACACAGTCAATGAAAAATTCTCTGTTAACAGTTGGTAGAGGAGAAAATTAGAATATTTGCCTCATAGCCCCCTTGTCTTAGGCTTACATCTTGTTTAGATACCACATTGAAAAAGGTGGCAGTCCCAGGTACAAAGTTCCCAGGAAATGTGGCCTCATCCTGATGTCATCAATGTATTCTTCCTTTTCTTTTGTGCCTATCGTTTGTATAGTCCTGGGTGCTCTATGATAAACCAGGGGACCCTAGGCCAACCGGCCGAGGGTTCAAAGTGGCTCATGTGAGGAATGACAGCCTTGCCTCTCACCTGTTCATGCAGAACCACCAGCATCCACAAAGTTCTGTTCAGTGATTTCCAGGAGCTCTCAGCTCTTTTCACAAATGATCACGACCAATATCACTAGGCATCTGTCAGGTACTGCTGCCTCTTCAGGACCTCAGTTTACTGTATTTCGGTGCCCCTGGTAAGGTCTCCCACTTGCAAATGACTGTTTCTTCTGGGCTTAGCCATTTATGCAAATGTTGGGTGCCACGGTCCAAGTCGCTACCGGACCTCTGTGCGGTGTATCTGAGGCTCCTCAGCCCCTTCAGTCTGCTCCGTGGGAGCAGAAAGTAGGCAGGTCTCTGTGCCCTCCTTGCATTAGATCCTGCTAGCAGCGCTTCAAAGCAATGCTTCTTTGTGCCTGCTGCTTTATGGTGGTTTTATTGAAAACAGTTATTTCAGTTATTACTTTGTAGCCCCCAGGGGACTAGACTGGGAACAAAAGCCAGTGACAAACACCATGTGCTCTCTGGCTCTCCTCTCCTTCCTCCAGCCCATGAGGTTTTGTCACGAGGCCCATCATGTCTGCATCATTCCCTCTAACACAAGTTCCAAACTTACTTGAGGAAATGTTAAGGATCATTTTCTTTGGGTGATTTATTTGTTTAACAAATTTGTATAAGTTTGGTAGCTTAAAACAATGCAAGTTGAATGACTTGCAGTTTCAGAGTCAGAGTCTGAAATGGGTCTCCTGGGTTAAAATCAAGGGGTTGCAGGGTTGTGTTCTCCTGTGGCGCGCTTTGCTGGTAAGCTAATGTCCTTCTCTTCACCCGCTTCTACAGGCTGCTCTCGTGCCTTGGCTCGCAGCACTCATCCATCTTCAAAGTCAGCAAGGGTTTGTCAAGTGTCTCATGGTACCATCTCTCTGGTTCTTTCCCTTCTACTTCCCTTACTTCACACACAAGGACTCCTGTGATTACCTTGGGCCACCTGGATAATCCAAGATAAACTCTCCATCTCAAAGTCAGCTAATCCTTAGTGCTATCTGCTACATTAATTTCTCCTTAACATAAAATGTAACCTATTTACAGGTTCCAGGACATTATGGGCATTTTGTATTATTTTACTTGGCCACAGGTACTTTTCTGAAAACATACTCGGTAATGGCTATTCATGTGATATGCATGTATAATAGTAAAATGGGCCAGATGGGTGAACATAGATCACTATGACTTGGGGTTTCTCGACAGATCTGCCCTTATCTTTGGAGCACATATCAACCACAGTTTAGCTACCCTAACTACAGTGGCCAATTTTTGTTCTTGCAAAGGCTCTCTGCTGCCCCACATGTGACCTATTCTTTCCTGTGTGGAATCTTCCATCCCTCAAGCCTTCTGACCCCATAATCCAATCAGCTGCTATAGATGCTATTCTGACTTTGGCAACCTTTTTGCAAGGCTTCCAGACCCAAACGGATACTCTCATCCACATACTAGATGCCAATAGGTGGACAAATGGGGCTGCTTTATGTCTAAATAATATCTCTTTGGCTGATCAGTGTGTCCTAAGAATAATTATTGTGACTGGGAAATATCGCATTAGTTCAATCAGTTGGTCCTTACTTTCACCCAGGACAGCCCTTTGTCAGGAAGTAGGCATGGCACAATTGGGACTTCCATGCTCTGTCTGTCCATTGAATTAAAGACCAACAGATGTCCAGGTTACCTATACTACCTATACTGACCTCAGTAACTCACCTCAACACAAGAGAACTTGATAGCATAAGAGAACCAAGAAGGTGCTTATGGAAACCATGATAGGGAGATGGAGTCAGAACCATGGAGAATTTGTGGAATTCTCCCCCTGCACTGCCACCATTAGAGATCTATAGGTCTCTAGGTTGCCAGTTTATCTCAGCAACAAAGGCCATTTAAAAAAAATTGATTTGAGAAAGAGAAAGGGAGGGAGAAAGAGAGAAAAACATCGATTTGTTATTCCATAAATGTATGCATTCACTGGATGCTTGTTGTACATGCTGATGAGGGACCAAACCTGCAACCTTTGTGTATGGGGACAACACTCTAACCAACTGAGCTATCTTGCCAGGGCTTGAACAAAGACCATTTTTGAATCAGTGATAATTTATAAGATATTTGTGGTGCCTACATGTACCCTTTTACCTACAGAAATACATTTTCAGGTTTGGTTGATGAGGTGTTGCCAAGTGGCTTTCCCTTGCACCTTCCCCGAGATCTTCCTTTTGTTTCATCAGGTTTGATGTGCACACATGCACACTCCACCAGTACCAGGGCTAATCCTCGGCAGCATATGTTAAAAACAAACCCAGTTTAAGCCAAACAAACATCAGCAACTTTCCCCTGATTCCAAGATGAGCAGCTCATTTTCTCTGAAAGCACATAATATTCAGAGTAAGTTTCTCTTGAGAATACCAGAAATCTTGCAAAAATTCCCATCTTGGCATAATTTTGATCTAATTTATATGGAAAATATGATAACTTTAACTTAATTTAAGATAGAAATGTAACCCATTTACAGTATCTGTACATCCTAGATAAATAATAAGTTGTCATTCTCATGTGGTGAAAATGTACCTCCCGAGTTTGAATTTTGAGAATTCCTCATTTTGCAAATCCCTTGAGAGAGAGATGCTTGAGAGAAAAGTAAGAAATAGCAAGAGGCAGCAAGTGGTCCCTGCACCCCACAGCTAATTTGAGCATCAGTGACACCCTAAGCAGCATCCTGCTGCCACCTGTAATGAAGAACATGCTTATTTCTAATTTGTAGCATTTCCCCCTTCCTGATTATACAAGATGGGTTCATTCATTATTAATCTGGTTTGTCAGACAGCACGGCCCTCCAAGTGTCAGGCTTCCTTGTTTCCAGGCAGTGCGTTTGTGTAGGAGCAATGAAATTTCAGAATGCACAGATCAGCAAGCTCTCGTCTGCACCTGATTAAAGTTAGATAGACCAACTTAACGGCCTTAAAATAGTTCTACATGAAGCAGCAGGACACCTTTCTATATTTGTCATTATTATTGGAAAGGAAATGGACTGAAAAATCATTACTTTTCTTCCAAACTGCACTTGACTTGAAAGAGAGTGAGGAAAAGAAAATGATCCTTCTTTGCCTACACCAAATAGCCTAGAAATTAAAATAGCAAAGGAGACATAACTCCAAGTATACTGTAAAGAAAGTGAATATTTTAGCACACAACCACACACATGCATGCATACATGAATATACACGTACACACAGTGATCCTTGATTTGTAGAGTTTAAAGCCATTGGGCTTGCCACATGAAGATTCAGATTGATATGATCCTCTGGGAAAAAGCTTAAAGTGATCCATTCAGGGGTCATATGAGTGGGCTCCAGGACCCAGCTGGGAGAAGCAAAAAGCAATGCATGATGGGAAACAGACACAATATGTGCATTTCCAAACAGTAATTAGTAAGTAAAAGGCTGAGAAATAGATTCTGGCTGATTTCCAAGTCATCTGAATGAGCAATAGAAGTATTTTTTCTTTTGTTAGGACCTAGCTTTAAAGGCAAATAAAAGGACTGGATGATAAAAGTTTGAACTCAATACAACAAACTCCATCAGTGCTTGTCTAGAGTTCCTTGATAAAGGTGTATCTTGATCTTTTCCTGTTTGTGCTTATCAGGTTCTTGGTGGATGGAGGTTCCCAAATACATAGCAGCAAAACCATTCACAATTATGATTTTGGAGCTGGCACTGCCTTGGGTAGTATTTGGGGAAAAGGATGAAACAGTGGTGTGAGGGCAATGAAGAATTATTTGTGTGAAGTTACCAGTCAGAAAAGTTAAGTGGACACTATGTAGAGTCTAAAGCTGGCACAGGGACAAAGAAGGCAAAGTGCAACTACTGGGAACATGCGGGAGGTTCCATTTGCTTAAAGAGCGTAGTTAATAAATCCTTGGCACAGGTTGCCCAAAATTTCACCCTCCAGATTTAAATGAAACAACAAAGGTAATTTCTACTCTACACCAGTGGTTCTCAACAGAGGGAGGATGGGGCAATTTT